CCTAACCCCTCTTTCTGGGTGTACTACGGCGGCACCCCCGCCTCCGTCCCCTTCACCTGGGAATCCGCACCGGGGACTCCCAAGCACCACCGCTTCTCCTCCTCCTCCGACGACGATCTCCTGCCCTTGACTCTGCCGCCTTCCTTCCACTCTTACTCCGATGATTATTCCCACCATCGCGGCCGCTTCCGCTCCTCCGCCGCCCTAAAACTGCCAAACTTCCTCTTCTTCAGGGCCCTTTTCCCCGCAGTCGGCTTGAGGTCTGGTGCCACTTCTTCTCCCTCCGATCATAATTATATTTCTAATTGCTCTTTGTCGTATTCCTCCTCCTCCTCCAGGCGATCCCCCGCCACCACTGCTGACGTGTGCAGGAAGAAGCCGTGGCCGAGCCGGTGCTTCTCCTGCTCCAGGGTGACGTCCCACCACCACCACCGCCACGATGATGACGGATTAGAAGAAGGAAGATGACCGAGGAAGCGCTATAACTAAGCGAAGAAGGCTGGTAATCCCATTATGTTATGTTAATAACCCGACCGGCGAAACAAAAAGGGTCAGGATGTGATTGCCGGCGACCTCGATATCTTGAGAATTTGGCTTATATATGTGTCTTGTTTCTTTTCATCAAACAACATTCATCTCTAGCTGTCATATATTCAATGCATCCTTCACTTATTCCTCGATTTGAAATTGCAATTCGAGATAATGACATATTTTGATTATTTTTTAGGGTTAGTTAAGTTATTAATCATTTGAAATTGAACAAAAATATGCTATCAATTTGCTATTTCTACTAAGAAAGCTATTTTCTACTAAAAACCGCTATTTAGTATGTAGTACAACCCATGAAGCATTCATGCTTGTAAAGGGCTGATCCGCATATATTTTCTATCTATTCACAACACCAAGATAAAAAAAGTCATAAATGCACCCAGTATTCGATTTTGACTACATGATGAAATACTACATTTGAACCAACTACCATTGATGCCACAAAGAATAAGTATACCTTTAAATCATATATAAAATATTTCAAGCATCATAAATATTAAGATTAAATTAATTATTATAAAGAGTAAAAATTATATAATGAGGTCAATTATAACTCACTTATACGTAATTCCCTATAAATTAATCAACACATCTAGAAATGGCGAAATGGATATCACATTAAACCCAATATTGTCTCATTATTGTTGGGTCCATTCACGCCAGATTCGCAAGAGGTTAACCAAGCTAAAATTTTATAGAACCATTCACCTATAGTTTGTAGAAAATATTATTACTTCGTAGTAGTTCTGAAAATTTATATTAATTTAAAGGATTCTACATGGCTTTTGCATATTCAATACTGTAATTCGATATTCATTATTTCAGGCAATGAAATTTAGGTTGCAATTTTAAGATTATCCGAAATTGTTTAGGTTATAAAAAATTGGGCTAATATCACTACAACACCCAACTATGGAAAAAATGTCACTTGTGTCCTATTGTATCAAATATTTCATTCATGTCCTCAACTATGATACTTTGTGTCATTTGTATCCTGTCAATTTCGTTGACCGTTAAAGATACTAGTTGACCATACGATGGTCAAAGCACCATTGACTATTGGTGATATGACAAAAACGTGGTGGACACATAAATGCCATGTCCCCAAACACGTCAGATTAGGTTTAATTTAATTTAACGAAAAATAAAACAAATAACAAAAAGAAACAAAATCTAATTCCTTCTCATCTCTACCATGATTGTAAGCGACCCTCTACCTCCCCCTCATCGTCGTCATTGTGCCACCATCGGATTCTTCATCTGTGGCGGAATTAGGTTTACGATGGGTATCCGGAAGCGCTCTCTTCTTCTAGCCAATGCAATGGAGGATCTGGGATCCTCGTTGGAAGGACTTGACAATCTCTCGACTCCTTGTTGACGTCAATCACTGCCGCCGCCCCCTGCTCCTCTCTCAAATCCATCTTCTGCTCCCACACTCCAACTGTCTCACCAATCCTTTTTCCTCGCCTTCCGCACTCTCATAGGCAAGCTCTACAGCTACAACGCCTCCACCGCCTTCAAATCAGAATCCGAGCCGACAACCTCATTCTCAGATTCAGTGGCCACGAAATTTTCGGTGATGGTGGTGATGTCATTGTTGAGTGAAGGCTGGACTGGTGCTGTAAGAGGCTAACCGCCGCCGGATTTCTGGGGAGAGTTTGGATAAAGCAAACGGGGGAGGAGGGTGAACGTCGATTTTTTGGGTATTGGTGGAAGAGGAAAAGAACAGGGGGAAGGAGTGATAGTCTGACAGATGGGATTAATCTCCATTCTTGGTTTTTTGGTACTGGTGGAAGAGCAAAAGAACGACGGGGGGAAGGAGTGACCAACGGCAAGCTCTAGTGAAGTCGGCAGCAATGAGGAGGAGAGGTGATCGTGGTCGGAATTCAATTTGGGGGAGGAGATGTCACGACGCGGAGATGGGTGGGTGGGTGAGGGGTTATTTTCCTTTTATTTTCTTTAGTTATTTTTTTTTTGTGAAAAAATATAAATTCAGATTAAAAAATTCCACGTCAGATGCTGACTGGATTTTCGGTTAAATACTAACGGGCAACATTGGTCAATACTAATGGAAAAATAGTTCAGGACACAAAGGGAATATTGAATAAATTAGGACACATATGACATTTTCTTCATAGTTCATGTGTCGTAGTGGTATTAGCTCTAAAAAATTATAAATCACGTATTAAGCTTTGCTTTTTGGAAGATTTAATAGGCTAGATGATCGTGATGGAAAAGTCCTCTGCTTTTCAAATCTTCGCTTAGTGTATGTTTATAATTTAAGAAAATAGAACAAATTTGTTTAGCGTAATTGGTTGTGATTAGTGTTTTTGTTAGAAGAGACTATGGATCAAATCTTGATATTGATACTTTTTTATGTGAAGTAAATAAATAATTGTGATGACAAACTTAATTTTTCAACTTTCACTCTCAATTCACGAAATTTGAAATGAAAAATCTTAAAATATTAAATGTATCTTATAGAAAGCGCTTCTTCAACCAAGTAGGAAAAATATTTTACTTGAAATTATTATATCTTATAGAAAGTGATTAATTGTGAAACCGGAACTCAACTAATATTAATTTTACATTAAATATTAAATTGTATGTATAGTTATGTTTAGAGAAAATACATACGTGTAGCCAAAACATGGACCTTTGTGACAAGCATAGTAATTTTTTGTGACAATCTACACATAATATAAAGATAAATTGAGCGCAACAACAAAAAAGAGCTTCCTAGGATCACTCTAAGACCACAAAATTTGAAATGAGACTCTCATTTCCAATTTTATCATTATATTATGTGTATATTTGACATAAAAAATGAATATACTCTTCACAAAGGCCCATGTATTGGTTACACTTCTGTAATTTGTCTAAACTAAACTTCACATACAATTTAATATTAATGTTTGAATCAATGTTACTTGAGTTCCGATTTTAGAACTAATCTCTTTCTATAAAATATAAATCACTTAAGATAAAATATAAATAGAAGCATCATCACCGAACATATTTCTAGAGTTTAATCAAGAAAATAACAATAAGACAATGTAGAATAGTTGGTTATATTGCTCTTTCTTCATTTAAGTGACCAAGGTTCAAACTCTAATGATAACATTTTTAATATATAAAGATGAACTGTGTGCAATGACAAAAACGACCTTCCTAGAATTACTCTCAGGTCACAAAATTTGAAATGGGACAATTCCAAACCATGTTTTGCCTTTATATATCTTGTAGATTATGTGGCGCGGTTTGTGAATAGGCAGCGACTGTGGGTTTTATAGAGCAACAATGAGGCACCGTTTCACGTAGCGATATGATGGTTGAAGAAAATTGAAATGAGTTTTAATATAACTGTCAATAGTTTGAACGATAGGGCGGGAAATTTACATTTTTAATGATAACATTTTTAATATATAAAGATGAACTGTGTGCAATGACAAAAACGACCTTCCTAGAATTACTCTCAGGTCACAAAATTTGAAATGGGACAATTCCAAACCATGTTTTGCCTTTATATATCTTGTAGATTATGTGGCGCGGTTTGTGAATAGGCAGCGACTGTGGGTTTTATAGAGCAACAATGAGGCACCGTTTCACGTAGCGATATGATGGTTGAAGAAAATTGAAATGAGTTTTAATATAACTGTCAATAGTTTGAACGATAGGGCGGGAAATTTACAAACAACATTTTAATAAATAAATTGCCTTAAATTTGAGGTTTCTTAACAAATCTTCATAGTGATTTCATATTTTGCCAAAAAAAAAAAGTATATGTATATGTAGAGAGAGTATTAGATTTCTTTCAATGAGTCAGACTATGCGACCATGGTTCGTGTGGCTGTCGTCGAGGAGTAGCATTATACAGTGTGTGCGATACGTTACAAGTGGGAGTGAGATATGCGTTACGGTAAGCTAAATAGAAGTCAAACGAGATTTACGTTACAGTAAGCTAAAAATGTATAATTAATTTAATTTCCTTTTCTAGTTGTCCTCAATTTCATTCTTTCATTATTCACATTGCGACTGGTCAAGATATCTCTGACCCATTTTTTTTGAACTCTTAGCTTTACAAATGGTCATTCAGACGACAATACGGAAGGATTTCCTCGCATGCGATGAGGACAATTTTGCATAGTTGTCCACTCTAATTAAACTTCTTAATTTTGCTTGTTTTTGGGAAAAATGGATAATACATAACTATTTTTAATTTATTACAACAATATAGTCTGAGAGCTTAGCAACAGCAGGGAGGCAAAACCAAACGTTGAGCACAACATCATGAAACTGGCTTGCCTTTCAAGTTCCTTTGAAAATCTACAAAATTTAATATTTGACAACAACAATCTAACTATGGAAGCACACAGACCATACTTCCCTCCTTAACTAGCATTCTGTAAGACAGTTAGAGTACAAAGCGAAATGGCAAGCAAAACAAGAAACTAGGCTTTGTTCAATCCTGAGAGGTATGCTAGGGCCAACAAACAGTTTGTTTCCTTCTTCGATATGTACTTGTTGTAGCACAGGAAGAAGTAACCTAGGTAATCGAAATTGATGGGCGGCATCGTCGCCTGCAGGGAAAGATAGAAACAGAACAAGAGCAACTGCTACTTAGTATTATGGGTCAGAGAGTTGCAGAATTCAAGTAGTTTGTCATCAATCAGAAGCTCACTTGGATTAGTGCCCAGAGGGCCCAGACAATGTGTGAAGCTAGCATGAACGCGTTTGAATCTATGTAAAGCACTTCAAGCTCCTTGGAAGATACCTGTTTTGCTTCAACAAGTGTTCAGATTCTTGCTTCATAAGTCTTATTACAATGATTTCAGATGTCAAATTTATCCAAGAATTACCTCATCAGGCTTATCAAGTTCTAAGTAATGCATGAAGATATGATCTTTGTTCTTCTTTACTAGGATACCTGGATATTCACCATAATTTAAAAATGATCAGAAAGGCTGATTTTTTTTTTCTCAAGATCACTACTGGTATTAGGGCAAGGTGGTAAGGAGATGAAAAAGACGTACAATGAGTAGTCACAATCATAGCCTACATACTCGTTGAAGTGATTCCCAATGTCGAAACCTCCGTAACTGTATGATCAACAGTTAACAGAAGCCCTAAGGGGGAAGGACTGTATCGCAATACATTATCTTAAGTAACTAGTCACGGAAAGGCAAATCATCTTTGATGGCACATACCTTCATCATCATTAACCATCAGGTTCCCAGAAAGTAGGTTATTATGAGCAAAAACCACTCGAGAATTTAAGCGGCCTGTCAATTCTTGTTTGATTGTGAAAGAAAAAAAAATTTAAAAATGAGAAGTCCACATAGAATTTGGATTGGTGATATGAAAGAAAGCGCAAACATTGGACCGTTTTGTTTTCGGCAGACTGAAAATTACATTCAGTACATAAATAAGGGATCAATAGACTACAATACAACCCTATAACATCCAACCGGAAAAATAGGACACTCTACAACCTCAATCCATAGTCACACTAGCAACAAAAATTACCTTGATTTCAATGACTTCACCATGAAGTTCTTTAAAGGATATCGTCTGATATGTTCTTTGTTTCTCAGCATCATCAAATTGCAGACCTGAGACTGGAACATAAAATGGTAATTAAATAAGAAAAAGGTGTAACTAAAAACAAACTAATGAAGTTCGGAAATATTTGCAGCCAATTTATCTTCTTTGAACATAGTACCACTCTCATAGAAGTTGAATATCTCATTCCATAACTGAGGTTCCTTGGACCCTGGAATTTCGACCGCATGAAACCTAGGGAGTTCCTATGCAATTTCAGCAGCCAACTTTGGCACCCTCATGTCTGCAAAGATATAGAAACAAAACCAAATAATGAAAAACTAAAAGCTGCACATTACAGGTCATAGTACCACTCTCATAGAACTTGGAAATCTCATTCCATAACTGAGGTTCCTTGGACCCTGGAATTTCGACCGCATGAAACCTACAGAGTTCCTTTGCAATTTTAGCAGCCAGCTTTGGCACCCTCATGTCTACAAAGATATAGAATCAAAACCAAATAAAAAAAAATTAAAGCTGCACATTACAGGTCATAGCCTAAAAAGATCATAACCTTCACTTTGGCCAAAGCCTCCTCGATAATTTACTGTTGGGTGAGGTTATAACTGTGAAGTTGTTCAAGAGCATACAAGATCAATTTTCTTCTTTAACATACAAGATCAATTACTTAGCAGAACAATCAATTCTATTTAAGAAACTAATAACTAAGTAGCAGAAGTTTATTTCACTCATATTAGATCAGCAATAGTAAGAAAGGAACACCACTGAAGGTTTCCTCATTTAAAGTGCATGATTCAATATTCCTTACATACTGGAGTTAGAGTACGTGCGTTGATAAAGGACTGCACCATACCATTCCCAAATACTCCAACCAATTTGGCACCAAATCCTGCAGTCGATAGGTATTTGATAGCCTGAACATAGTATGTGGTAAGCAGCCTTGTAACAGTAACTGCTGTAGAAGAACCCATTGCAGCTTAACTAAAAGAATTGCCACATCTCGCTTAGTTATAGACCAATGTTAAAACTAATCACTAGGCTAATCATCAATGTAAGTCTTGTTCTAGGCAAGGCCATTCGACAAATTGAGTAAATCTAGGCAAAGCCATTAACCAAGATATGTTCACATATGTTTCATCAATCGAAGTTCAACCCATGTAAGCAGCAACAAGGAACGGGTTCAGGCAAACCAAAGATGGACCCAACCTGCAACTCGCGCTCACGGTTGATGATATAATCGGTGTTTGGGCCATACAACCTGACTGTTACAACGCTCTCTTCACCATTCTCTTCCTTTACAAACATCTTCAGCACTGCGGAATTAACAATAACAACCATTAGACAGCCAATCATCAAGATTAAAGCATCCCAAAAGTGCATCAAGTGAAGCAATCATAGTAGTCAAACTAAATCGCCTAACAACAATCCCACAGAATTCATGGGAAGAATAAGGTATAATCACACAGATTGGCAATACCGCCGGAAACTCTCTCAACTGTGACACAAGGTTCTTCCAATTCGAACCAATTCTTAAATAAATCCTTGCATAATCCGCTGCCAACCTCCAAAGAAAGAGTAACAATCAGAAGAAGAAAAAAAGATAGCTCGAGCTCCATAGTCAGGGGAAACAATAGTTGTGGTGTTCTTTCTTCTTCTCGCAAATTTCAGTGTACTCGGAACATAATTAAACTAGCCACAATTAGGTACGGTGCACCGCCTAGAATGACGACACTCTCAAACATTTTTTCGGCAAACAAAAACAACACACACCAAGCGCGCTCGGAGTCGCGGAATTCAATCTAAAGCTAGAATAAAATTTTGTTTCCACACAACGGGCAGGGGAAGGGAAGGGGAACGTACATGACGCGAGGAGAGGAATCGGCGATGCTAAGCTGGGGGTCGACAGTTCATGAAGAAGATGAAATCTCGTCTGAGCCGCAGCAACCATTGGCTCGAGCTTCGCGGTCGACGACTTCCATGGTGGTACAAATATTCTCTGGAGCTCCCATTTTCCGTCTTTTTACAACGGTCAGCTTTCTTGCGGGTGCCTTGTTCGAGGGAACTTCCCAATTTTGCAGGAGGGCGGGCATGATTGATTCATTTCGTTCCAGTTAAACCAGGCGGGCAGTACGAGAATGTGAAAGAAAGAAACTATTTTTTTTCTGGTGGGTCTAGATTTAGGTAATCAGAGCGTGGAGCGGGAGCGTCAAAACATCAATTTTTCAATAGTTCAATTTCGAGAGCGTGAACAGAGGGTTAATATTAAATGTAATTTTTTATTATTTATTTTAAAATAAAATTCTTGCAAAATATTAATAATTTCAAAGAACCTAGCTATTTATATTCGGAGGAAAAAACACTTATAACTATTAATTGATTAATAATATTATAGTAATAACTAATAAGTAATAAAATAATCACACCTGGGGCAATCGTTCACCTAACAAAATCTTATCACTTCCAATAAAAAAAATCATTCACAGTGAAAAGCAAACCTCTTTAAAATAGAACAATTCTATCTCTTTTAGCTCCTCTCCCACCGTCGTCGATACCATCATCCCTCCACCGTCGTTCTTGATTTCTCCGCTTTTGATTCACCGTCGTTTACTGCCGTTGTTCGGTCTCTCTCCCTAATTTACCGCCAGCCCTTGGATTCCTCTTCAATTTCCAACCCGCAACTCCCTTCCTCCACCGCTTTAGCTCCCCTTAACAGCCTAACGTTGTCGTCTCTGTTCCTCCGCCACAACCGCGACCGTGGAAGCTAGTTCATCCCGGCTCTTTGTAGGAGTCACCATCGGAATCATGTATCAAATACTCTCCTTGTTGCCTTTTCTTCACCTTCCCTAATTCCTCTGGGAAACACAGCTAGAGAGACAAACAGAGGCTGGACTCTAGATTTCCGGCCAGCAGCGGCGACAAAATTTGCTCCGTTAGATTGATCAACTGGGGAATCCCAACGAACGCAGTCCATATATGATGAGTCTTCAATGTATTGTGCAACAGCAACACTCTTCGGCGGGAGGATGTACTTGTCTTCTTCCTCTGCTACTTTCATAGAAAAATAATCCATGTTTTCCGATTTACCAGAATCGTCGCTAACAAGACAGGTGGGATCCGCGCTCTTAATTCTAGAATTCACGCTCTACTGATATAAAATTCGCGAATTTGAAATGTTTTATAGAAAACCGCATTTTGGCGAACTAGCGCGGGAGTTCCGGAGCAGTTCACGCTAATTAGGTGATCTAAGTCTGGATGCTCGGTTTTCTGATTGGGTCGTGATGGGCTCTTAGCCCAATTAAGTTCCTTCCATCGAGGAGATAGGCCCGACTCGTTTTTACCAAACGTTGGGATCAGGCACTCCACTTCAGAAGCCCGCAAAGTATGGGTGAGCAACTGAACATATACATGGTTTTAATAAGCAAAAGAGCTTGTCGTAAAATACAATTTATTGACAATTTCTTTATTCTTAATGGATTAGGGCCCTAGGACGAGTCACCAATGTTAACACAATCTATCTAATAATGTTCATTAACAGTTGTGACAATTTGAGTTGAGATTAATAGAAACAGTAGTGACAATGTAGATATCGTACGAGCAAAACTATCGTTCGATGATTGTTTGTTATTCGATAGAAGCAGAAAAATTAGGTTTACAACACAATATAATAATGTTCACATAGCTGTCATTCTTTATCCTTTTTTGCAAAAGCAGAAAACTAAGTTTACATCACTTTGAATTGAGATGAAGAGAAATCATAAGGCAATGTATCATGTATGTATAGTTTCCAGCCATTGAAACTAAAATTGAACTTTGATATTGAAAATATATCATTCAAAATGGGAAGGAAGATCAACAAAGATATTGGATATCTTTTGATAAGGGAAACTTGTTATGACTTTTGTGGGTTTTATTTTTTGGTTAAGTATGTAGGATGTGCAAGAGTTTTGCTAGTTTTGGGTTAAAAGGTTGGGTTGGTCGTAGGTCCACCACAATACACCCGCACTCACTCACTTCTACTGGATCTATTATTTTAGAACTCACATTCACCAATAAAATCACCTACAACATAAAAAGGGTGGATTTGTAGGTTCAACCGCCCAGTGCTCAAACGAGCTCAACCACGTTAGAGAAACGACAAGACTAATGACACCTTTGTTATACTATATTTGCTTTAAAGTAAGAGTTCAAATTACTAAATTGTCCTTTGTAAAAATAATAAATACACACCCTAGCAAACCACCTCACTCCATCTTCCTTCAACCCTAAAATCCTTTTCCTTTTTTCTCTGCCGCCGCCGCCGCTATTTTTCATTTCTCCTCGTCGTCATTGTTTAAATTCACTGTTGTTGTTGGTGACCGGTGGTTGACTCCCGGTGACAATGGATGAAAGCAGTAACAGAGAAGGTGCTCTTGTTGTATTATTTTTAATATCTATATTTTTTAATCTAATATTTTTGTTCTCTTCTTCATATAATCATATATATAAAATTAGATCAATTTCAATAAACCTAGGCCGACGCTTAACAATCCAAAAGAAGAACCTCATTTCCTATTCTCCGCCGGTGACGAGCCATCTCTTTACGGCACAATCGCGCTTCGAGACTGTCCCGTGGGCAAAAGATGCTGAGACGGTGCACGAAAAATCTCGTTCTGAATTTTTCCGCTCTCCATCGTCTCCAATCTCACACTCCTCATGTAAGAAAAATATAACCCCTCTCTCTGATTATTTCGTTTCTTCCCCTAAAGCCAACAATTTTTTTTTGTTGCTTTATGCACAGGAAGATTCACACTAGGAACAAGAAGGCAATGGAGTTCATAACCTAAGGTTAGAATGCGTTGAAGGAAGTGGATTGAGTCATAGACTACTGCAAGTTGAATGATCATCGCCTCATCCCACACCTTCGAGTAAGGTTCTTCGTCTGTCGCCATGAACTAGTTTTTGTGTGTAGGGATTGGTAATTCTAATTTAGCTTTGAATGTTTTAGAGTTGCTTTTGGTTGATTATCAGTATGCTAAGGAGAAATTCGAGCTCGCTTTGGAGGCTGTTAATTCCAATACGCATTGCTAGATATTGGTTGCCTAAATTGCATTTGAAATACCATGTTCCTGGTGCTTGTAAGGCCATGTGAGTCAATCCCTTTTTTCTATGGCGTTGTTCTAGGTGACTTTAAGAGGTTGTTACTGTTGTAATCCAGTTTATTTTTGAGCAATTTTGTCTCAAATCGTCTTCTGTCAAAATTTAGTCAATTTTCTCGTTTGCTAATTGCTATTAGTTCAATAATTTCAACCTGGTTCTTTGTTACCACTTGTCTCATAAAATTTCCATCCTATGTTTGGAAAACTGCTTTGATAGTTAGTGTTGGTGTTCTTAACATTTTGTTGAATGTTTCCGGCTTGTGTTTGCTTTGTTTCAATGGCATAGAGAAGCTGCTTTGTTAGTGGAAGCTGCAGAAATGAGCAATACAAATGCTCAATATGACTTGGTTTATCAATTGAGATTAAAGGTTAGAAATCTAGATACCTATTCTGCAAATAATGCTAGCTAGATATCATTTACTGAAAGATTAGCTACTTGAATGTTGTATTTATATCAAATAGCAAGCAAAAAAACTAAGGTTTGGCTAGATACCGATACCTTCCATGAATGTTTCCTTCAGAGTTCCACTTGTTGATTAAATGTGTCAACTGATAACTTTACTACACTTAGAAAAAAGGAGGATCTTGATGAAGTTTCTCTATCATAAACCACCCAACCGACATCCCTTTCTTTATTCCAACTCCCTCTAATTTGAATTGTATTTGCACTTTACCCAAATCCAGAGATTCATGTAGCTTCAAGTAACTTGGTTTTCTTGTTCGATCAATAAATTTCTAGTTATCTTCTACTTCACTTATCTGCCTATGTTTCGTGGTATATCTCACTTCACACTATTTTAATTTGCATATGTGCAGACAGTATTATTATCACAAACCTTCGGGAGGTCGGTTCAAATCCAAAGTTGAAGTGATTGACTTCATGATAAATAGCATTTGCTCGCTTCGTCTAAAGAGGAGTATTAGCAAGACTAAAGCAATCACATTAGCATGCTCCTCCTCTTCAACCCCACCAAAAAGGATGGAATGAAAGAGAAACAAAAACAAAAATGACATATTGAGTCGTTAATGTCATCCAACTCTTCTTCCACAACAAAGTCGATGGGAAGAGAGAAACTAGAAGAAACCCAGTTGGTAATTATCGATCTCATTGACCTACATATATATGTATTATTTAAAAGAGATTGATTCAACAATAAAAAGTTACTCACTCAATTACTTCTTTCTTTTGGTGGAAGTATTGCATGATGCAATAGTTACACAAAGAAATTTACATTGCAACATTGTTGTTCCTCAAATAGGGAATATATCTTACTCATACTGATCCAATTGATGATTATAATAAGAGCATCGAACAAGTTGTCGTAACTCATGATCTGAAGACAAAGAATGACAAGAAGGAAGAGAGTGTTGTAAGTGATATGGATCAATATGAGTTGTGTCAACTTGTTCGTTGCTCTTATTATAATCATCAATTGGATCAATATGAGTAAGAGATATTCCCTAATTGAGGAAAAACAATGTTTGCAATGTTAATTTCTTTCTGTGTAACTATTGCATCATGTAGTACTTCCACCAAAAGAAAGAAGTAATTGAGTGAGTAACTTGTTATTGTTGAATCAATCTCTTTTAGATAATACGTATAGGTCAGCGAGATCGATAATTACCAACTGGGTTTCTTCTAGTTTCTCTCTCCTCCCATTGACTTTGCTGTGGAAGAAGAGTTGGATGACATTGACGACTCAATATTGTCATTTTTGTTTTCGTTTCTCTTTCATTCGATCCTTTTTGGTGGGGTTGAAGAGGAGGAGCATGCTAATGTGATTGCTTTAGTCTTGCTAATACTCCTCTTTAGACGAAGCGAACAAACGCTACTTATCATGAAGTCAATCACTTCAACTTTGGATTTGAATCGACCTCCCAAAGGTTTGTGATAATAATACTGTCTGCACATATGCAAATTGAAATAGTGTGAAGTGAGATATATCATTAATCATAGGCAGATAAGTGAAGTAGAAGATAACTAGAAATTTATTAATCGAACAAGAAAACCAATACTTGAAGGTACATGAATCTCTGCAGTTGGGTTCAGTGCAAATACAGTTCAAATTAGACGGAGTTGGAATAAAGAAAAGGATGTCGGTTGGATGGTTTATGATAGAGAAACTTCATAAAGATCCTCCTTTTTTCTAAGTGTAATAAAGTTATTAGTTGACACCTTTAATCAACAAGTGGAACTCTGAAGGAAACATTCATGGAAGTAATTGGTATCTAGCAAAACTTTAGATTTTTTGCTTACTAATTGATATAAATACAACATTCTAGTAGCAAATCTTTCAGTAAATGATATCTAGCTAGCATAATTTCCAGAATAAGTATTTAGATTCCTTTAATCTCAATTGATAACCCAAGTCATATTGAGCATTTGTATTGCTCATTTCTGCAGCTTCCACTAACAAAGTAGCTTCTCTATGCCATTGAAACAAAGCAAACACAAGCCAGAAACATTCACCAAAATGTTCAGAACACCAACACCAACTATCAAAGCAGTTGTCCATACATAGGATGGAAATTTAAGAGACAAGTGGTAACAAAAAACCAGGTTGAAATGATTGAACTGATAGCAATGAGCAAACGAGAAAAGTGACTAAATTTTGACAGAAGACGATTTGAGACAAAATGGCTTAGAAATAAGATGAATTACAGTAGTAACAACCTCTTAAAGTCACCTATAACAATGCCAAAGAAAAAAGGGATGGACTCACATAGCCTTACAAGCACAATGTCATCAATTGAAGTTCAACCCATGTCAGCAGCAACTAGGAACGGTTTCAGGCAAACCAAAGATGGACCCAACCTGCAACTCCCGCTCACGGTTGATGACATAATCGGTGTTCGGGCCATATAACCTGACTGTTACAACGCTCTCTTCACAATTCTCTTCCTTCAGACACCTTCATCACTGCAGAATTAGCAATAATCTCAACCATTAGACACCCAATCATCAAGATTAAAGCATCCCAAAAGTGCATCAAGTGAAGCAATCATAGTAGTCAAACTAAATTGCCTAACAACAATCCCACAAAATTCATGGGAAAAATAAGGTAAACTCACATAGATGGGTAATACTACAGGAAACTCTCTCAACTATGAAGCAAGATTGATCCAAAAAGGACCATTTCTTAAATAAATCCTTGCATAATCCGTTGCCAACCTCCAAAAAAATAGTAACAATCAGAAGAAGAAAAAAAGATAGCTCGAGCTCCATAGTCAGGGGAAACAGTAGCTGTGGTGTTCTTACTTCTTCTCGCAAATTTAAGCGTACTCGAAACAGAATTAAACTAGCCATAATTAGGTACGATGCACCGCCTAGAATCACGACACTCTCAAACATTTTCCCAGCAACCAAAAACAACACACACCAAACGCGCTCGGAGTCGCCGAATTCAATCTAAAGCTAGAATAAAATTTGTTTCCACACAATGGGCAGGGGAAGGGAAGGGGAACGTACATGAAGCGAGGAGATGTATCGGAGATGCTGAGCTGGGGGTCGACGGTGCAAGAAGAAGACGGAATCTCGTCTGAGCAGCAACAACCATTGGCTCGAGCTTCGCGGTCGACGACTTCCATGACGGTAATGATCTTCTTTGGAGCTCCCATTTTCCATCTTTTTACAGCGGCCAGCTTTCTTGCGGGTGCCTTGTTAGAGGGAACTTCCCGATTTTGCAGGAGGGCGGGCAGGATTGATTCATTTCGTTCCTGTTAAACCGGGCGAGCAGCACGAGAATGTGAAAGAAAGAACGAGTTTAGTTTTCTAGTGGGTCTGGATTTAGGTAACCAGAGCGTACAGCGGGAGCGGAAGCATCAAAACGTCAATTTTTCAGTAGTTCAATTCCGAGAGCGTGAACAGAGCGTTAATATTATATTAATTTTTTTTAAATAATTTTTTTCCAAATATTATCAATTTCAAAGAGCCTAGCTATTTATCAATTGATTAATAATATTATAGTAATAACTAATAAGTAATAAAATAAGTACACCGGGGGCAATCGTTTACCTAACAAAATCTTATCACTTCCAATAAAAAAATCATTCACAGTGAAAAGCAAATCTCTTTAAAATAGAACAATTATATCTCTTTTAGCTCCTCTGCCACCGTTGCCGATACAATCATCCCTCCAACGCTGTTCTTGATTTCTCCACTTTTGATTCACCTTCCTTTGTTGCCCCCGTTCGGTCTCTCTCCCTAATTGACCGCCAGCCCTTGGATTCCTCTTCAATTTTCAACCCGTAACTCCCTTCCTCCATCGCTTTAGCTCCTCTTAACAGCCTGATGTTGCCGTCTCTGTTCCTCCGCCACAACCGCGACCATGGAAGCTAGTTCATCTTGGCTCTTTGTAGGAGTCACCGTCAGAATCATCTATCAACTACTCTCCTTGTTGCTTTTTCTTCAACTTACCTAATTCCTCTGGGAAACACGGCCAGAGAGACAAACAGAGACTGGACTCTGGATTTCCGGCCAGTAGCGGCGACAATATTTGCTCTGTTAGATTGATCAACTGGCAAATCCCAACGAACGTAGTCCAGATATGATGAGTCTTCAATGTATTGTGCAGCAGCAACACTCTTCGGCGGGAGGATGTACTTGTCTTCTTCCTCTCACAATTTCATAGATAAATAATGCGTGTTTGCCGATTTGCCAGCATCGCCGATAACAAGACAGGTGTGATTCGCTCTCTTAATTCTAGAAATCATGCTCTATTGATGTAAAATTCGCGAATTTGAACTTTGTATAGAAAAATCGCGTTTTGGCGAACTATTGCGGGAGTTCTGGAGCAGTTCACGCGAGTTAGGTGATCTAAATCTGGATGCTCGGTTTTCTGATTGGGTCGTGATGGGATCTTAGCCCAATTAAGTTCCTTCCATCGAGGAGATAGGCTCGACACGTTTTCACCAAACGTTGGGATCGGGCACTCCACTTTAGAAGCCCGCAAAGTATGGGTGAGCTACTGAGCATATACATGCTTTTAATAAG